ACATCCAGCCTAGCAAATTCCAACTGGTCCAGGAACGCTGACTGCTAATGACAGGATTACACCAAGTTCATCCAGCATAATAATAATAATCTGATATAAAGTCTGTAACATGCTCGTTGTCTCAGAAATCTGACTGAATTTTCTATACAGTGTGAAAGAGAGAGAGAGAAAGAGAAAGCAGGAATCAGAGAAGAAACACACTAAAAATAACTGAGGGCAACTGGATGGTCATTTAATTATGTTGATCACAGAATGCAGGAAAGGTTTCTCCATATCTATAGAATCACAGACAATTAAGCCTCTATGTTAAGGAATTTTATGGTCACCAGGCTTTTAGACACTTTGTATGTGTCTCTCTCTCTCTGTTTTAGTTCAGTACATATGTTTGAATCTGTACTCAAATTCACCAGCTTCCCAAACTACAAGTGTCTCAAATCTGATCAGTTTACAGTCTGAGTATTCATTGAAACATTTTATTTTCATACCTCTTAATGTGTACAAACACTGAGGCCCATGCAGTACAGAAAATAATCTTTCATGTAGAATCACTGTAAGTTGAAGTGGAAAAGAGAGACTGAGGGAAGAAAAAAAATACTTACTCTGCAGTTCACGGTGTATCACATCCACTAAATTTGGTTCATCTCCCCACCAGAATATCCATAACTCCTTACAATTTGGTTTGACATCCCGGCGCCAGACACATAGTAGATTGGCCTGAAGACAGCGGATGAAGCTCAGAAGAATTGGATCATCCTGTGCAGGGGCTGAAATAATAGGGCCACAATCTCCATGGCCTTCAAAGTTATACCTGCGCCACTTGATGCCTGTGAGCTCCGCCTGCAGGAAACAAACAAAATAAAAATACATTATTGAATCCACTTGGTTTCATAACTGATTGCTATGCAAATTTGCCTACTAATTTTGAAATCTAAGATATCTAGAAGATATAAGAATCATCAATGAAACATAAAAATTGGGAATGGACTGTGCCTCAAATACTTTGCAATTAAGGAACACTTTCCATCATTTCTGTTATTTAAACTGTCAGTGCTCATCAGAAGAGAAGCAAGAGCTTGTTGTTGTTGTTCTTATTGTGTGCCTTCAAGACCACCCTAAGGTGAACCTATTCTGGGGTTTTCTTGGCAGGTTTCTTCAGAGAACTTGTGCCACTGCCTTCCATTGAGGCTGAGAGCATGTGACTTGCCCAAGGTCACCCAGCAGGTTTCATGGCCAAGTGGGAAATCGAACCCTGGTCCTCAGAGTCATAGTCCAACATTCAAACCTCTACACCACACTGACCCTCCCAAGAAATAGTACTGACACTGAGAGTTATACTAGTTCTACAATAAACCTGCATAAAATGAATATGCAGAAGCTTTAAAAGAAAGTATTACATACCCATAAAGAAAAAATAACCTAACTTTTTTTTTAAGTTTCCCATGGTCTAGAGGCAAATAGGTATTTGTGTCACCAAAAAAATCTTGAGAACATAATGGCTGAGATCAAATGAGTAGGCCAAACAGTTGGCTATGGGAAGCTCATGAGCAGGAAAGGAGTGCAATAGCACTCCCTCATATCCATACTCCCCAGCAAGTCACATCAATAAGGTACATGAAAGTCAAGACGTGAAACACATGCAGTTTAGTTAGAAGGGGTGAAGCTAAACTTACTGCTGAGAACTGTGATTGTATTCCAAACACAGCTAACTGTTGCAAGCATGATAAAAGATAAATACAAACCCATACACCACCTATGTCAGACATGTATATTATGATAAAATCAGAACAAAAAGGGGGAAGGAATGCTCAGGTCTATCCCTCAAGCTGTTGTCACAACTTTACAACTGCATTGGATAAAATGGCTTGGCACATTTTTTTTCAGATTAAAAACTTTTTAGAATAGGCAGTAATGAAATAGCCACAACAAATAGGCAGATTTCAATGAACTGGCTTTGATGGTGTATTCCTGCATGGCAAGGGGTTGGATTGGCTGGCCCTTGCAGTCTCTTCCAACTCTATGATTCTATGGCTTTGAATATGGCTGCTAATATATGAAACTGATATCTGGACTGCACAATCTTCTTCAAAGCAACAACAACCAATATAAAAGGACTCAAAATGAGCAGGGAAGATGATATACAGGACACACAGTCAAATGATACCTGAGGCAAACTTGGTCTCCACAACTACTGCAATCTATGTCATGATAAAATTAGAATAAAAAGGAGGGAAGAACACTCACATCTATTGCAAACAAGAGACGTGATGCTGGAGAGAGATGCAAGGATCTGTGAAATAGCATGAGGTATGGATTCGCACTGAGCACTGAGCTTGGAATCCAGCCATTTCATAGATCCTCAGTCTCTCTCCAGCCTCTCATCTCTCTGACCCCTCACAAATACAATATGTATTACACTACTTGTGTTGTGTATTATGTATATGTGAATACAGGTATTCCAAAATCCGAAAATATGTAAAATACAAAACACTTCTGGTCCCAAGCATTTTGGAGAACGGTTACTCAACCTGTATAACATTATATTAATCAATATGATGGTAAGAATTAGTTCTATACCATCTAAAAATTTAAGATGTGCAGACAAAGGATTATTGGCAGTTCCACCAATACATACGGCTCTGTCAAGGCTGCAAGCCCTTCTGGATGTGACTCCATGTTTGAGGAACAGTCTTGCTTTGCACCTCCGGCTGGAAGAGGATCTTACTCGCTTTCATAAAGGGTTGAAAACCTTCCTCTGTAAGTTGCTAAGTTGCTAAGGTCTCCAAGATGGGTAGTGACCAATGAGGATTTTGTTTGTTTTTGTTTTTAGCATATTTGTATATTATTTTAGTATTTTAGCATTTTATAGTGTGTTTTATCATTCATTTTTGATTGTATATGTTCTGATGTACAACCCTTTGTTGAAAAGGATGTTATAAATAAACATCATCATTATTATTTATTATTTTTCTGACATTCTATTAATTGCTGCATGGGGAGTACACTGGGGGTTTATTTTCATTTGTCATGTTTTAAAATTCAATAAATAAAGTTTTTAAAAGGAAAATATTTTTTGTCTTTATTGAAACTCTCTTATCACAAGATACTTTTCTTTATGTTAACTAAGAGTCAAAAAATAGAAACATTGTTCATTTTAGCTCACTATGTGCCCTATTCTGAAATTATACTTTTAAATCAGCGTGGCTTCAGATGCTTTTGCTTCAATCCATGCAAATATGTAGCTGCTACTGGCAAAGACAAGATTAAAAAAGAAAGGATTATAGCACAGCCTGTTCACATTACAGAAATGCAGAACTACAAATCTTAATCATTAGAACCTACACAGTCAATAGTTTAATATATAAATATATATTTTTAAATTAATTAAGCAAATGGGGGGGAACAAAAAGTAGTGTAATTTTCTTTCAGCAACTAACAGCTTACTTCAGAGCTCATGTTTCAGGCATCTGTATTCTATTGTCACAGACAAATCTATGAGAAATTTGAGTGGAAACTCAAGCACAGTCATCCTGATTTATTATGGGAATTATTAAACTGGTGCATTCAGTGGTGCTGCTTGCTCATGCCAACATATGGGCACACACACAATAACATCTTGAAAGCAGCTGCTTTGTTAACTATCACTATACTGAATCACACTTGTTTTACTAAGACAGAGCTAAAACAAATAGTTAAAACAATACAGTAGTCCTAAACCAAAGAAATGATAGAACTTCTCCTATCAATAGTGAACACAGAAAGTTCTATTCTACACTGCAACACAACACAATGGAAAAAACAGAGGTTGTTATACCTTAGCTGGCATCTGACCTCAACCTTTCAAATGAAGAGGCAGGCACTGTACCAGGCAGGCAGGCAGGACCCAGAACAGATTTCCAGACTGGAGGCATCAACATAGTATAAAATTAAAAGATGAGAAAGAAGCATCTGCATTTGTCAGCAGAAGCTTCACATTTGGAGGTATTTCAATAAACTAAGCACCTGGATGCTTCCTCCTTTTCCAGGTGGAGACCAAGCTGTATACATGAAAAACAACAAAATAGAAGCAATATAAAGAGGATTGTAAAGGGCCCTTCTGTCTCGTATGCATGAGTAAAGGAAGAAGGGAAACATGAATTTAAACAAGGCTATTAAACAAGACCTCCCTCTCATGTCTTATATCCTCTCTTGATGCTTACTCCTGCTATTCATCAGGAAATCTCTTCATAACCTCTACCAAATAATCAATGTTTCTATTCCAAGTTCCTGGGGACACTATCACATAGTCTGTTTGTGTGCGCCTTCAAGTTGTGCGCGCCTTCAACCTTCAAGTTGTCTGTCAACCTATGGTGATCTCATGGACTTCATAAGGTTTTCTTATGAAAGGAATACTCAGAGGTGGGTTGCCATTCCCTTCCTCTTATCCTGTAATAAAATGTTTTCTTTGTACAAGCATACTTTGTAAAAGGAGGTGTAGCCATAAGCCTAACAATGTCTATAGTGAAAAAATAATCTCAGATGCTATAACTAAACTGTGAAAGGCCGCACAGCCTTTCCACCATCAACATAAAACACAGCTTCACCCATTCCAGAAACCATTGCAAAACAGTAGGTAATACAGATATACCTCAGTTAACAAAGTCAATGTGTTCCCCAGCATGACTTTTTAAACACAAAATTGGGTTTCAGAGACAGAAATAGCATGGAAAGAACAAAAGAACAGAGATAAGTTCCTGCACCACAAAAAAGAACTGTAGTTCAACATGTCTTAGCAAACATTTCCCTGCTAAAACTATGAACATGTGCATGTGAAATGAAACAATAATGCAAGGTAAGCCTTGCATAAGTGAAGGAAAACATTTTAAACCTTCTAAAGTCCACTTGAAGACTTCTTCCAGAATGCATCCAGGGATGACTTTTACTTTCATCAGTCTCCACTTTTCTTATGATTTCCATTTTGGTGACCAAACTTATACAGCTACAGCTTTTTAATAAGCTGGTGAGGTAGGCTGATCTGTTCTCCCCTATTCTCTCTGTTTTCCTACTCACACATGCTCAGTAAGGTATTCTGTAGGCAGCTTGCTGTTCATCATCAATCAATTTTAAAAACCCAGGAGTGTTTAAGTCATTTAAAAAAAAACACACACAAAAAAAAAACCCCAAGGTTTAACCCATGGTTTAAAGCAACATGGTTTAAACCAGCCAACCCTGATCAGAATTACTGGGATGAGAAGGTTTAAGCCCCATCCTGATACACATTGCTGGTCCCCTGTTGCTATTTTGTTGTTGTTGTTAACTGCCTGAGTCGATCTGGACTCATGGCGGCCCTATGGATGAGACATCTCCAAGAAGATCCTCTGTCCTCCCCTGCTCTGCTTAATTTCTGCAACCCCTTAATACCCATAATGACCTCCTTCATAGAGTCCTTCCTCTCTTCCTCCTTCCCTCCACCTTTCCCATCATTATTGTTTTTTCCAGAGTCCTCCCTTCTCGTGATGTGTCTGAAGTACGACAATCTCTGTTTAGTCATCTTGGCTTCCAAGTAGTTTTGCAGCTTGATCTGCTCTAGGACCTGTTGAAATTAGCAGCCAAGAAACAGGAGTTTGTTTTCTGCATACCAAGTGAAGGCTGATCAGCTGGGAGGTAAGAAAACCCAAATGAGTTACCCCATGGCTGCTGGCTGCACAGGCCAAGTTTACCTGTGATCCAACAACCACATGTTGCCACCTGTCACCATCTCAAGACAATATTATTACAGTTGGTTACACAAACAGTTTCAGTAGCTTTATATGTTTTCCTACATTCTCTTTCAACTTGAAATGCCAAGACTAAACCTGATACATTGTATAATACAAAGTGTATTCTCTGCTACCAATGTCTGCACTTCCACAGTCTCTTCTTTCTGCTTAGCAACATTTTGCTATCACAATAGTTTTGAAGGAAAGGCTCAGAACCAAATACAGCCATATGACAGGCACATCTGTCTCCACCCATACAGAAACCAAGACAAAGGTCCAAATCACACTGCAGCAATAATCCAGTTTGAGACCACTTTAACTGCCCTGGCTCAGAGCTTGGGAATTGTAGTTTCTTGTAGCACCAGAGCTCTCTGATAGAGAAGGCTAAATGTCTCACAAAGATTACAGTTCCAAGAATTCCCTAACATTGAGCCAGGGCAGTTAAAGTGGTCTCAAACTGGATTATTTTTGCAGTGTGTTTTGGACCAAAGTCTTACAGAACTGGATCTTCCATCTTCAGGTATATTGACACTTAATACTTAGAGGAATAGCTGCAGTTTCAAA